AGGTGGCTAGGTGGCTAGAGTGCTACACAAGCTGTGTGACCCTGGGCCAAGTCATTTTCCTCATCTGTAAAATAGGGGTGATAACAGCACCTACTGACCTCTGGGGAACCTTCATCACTTCAAGGACCTGACATTTCATTCATGTGCCTGCTGCCTTCCCTTACCCCCAGTAGCCACAGATTGCAAACCCTTCTACAACTTTAATAAGTGATTTTTCAAGAGTTGTTGCAACAGATATTTCATCCTTCTGTGGCTGACTTGGTGATGAGCCTGCCTCTCTAAACTCGTTAATATTTCTTCATCGATGATATTAACACACTTCCCGGCCCCCCAATATCATTAACAAGATTAAAAAATGAATGTTTCAACTACTTATGAAAATGAGCTCTTTTCAAGCATACTTGAATATTTTTGAAGCGCCCATTTAATCTATATTTGAGATCCAAATTGTACAACATTCTTCTCTATTCATTGTAGCAGGTCCTCTAAGGACCTCTCTATTGGGCAACAACATTGGCCTGGTCTGAGCTACTGTAGCCACTTGAAAACAATTAAATTTCATTTCTTTTTTTTAAGACTCAGGCTAGATCCCCTCCCCCCAATTAATCCAATGCGAAGAGTTTTTACTGTACTTCAAATAACCAAATCAACAACGGGGTTGGACTTCCATGGTCACTAGAGCATAGTTGACGGTATAGAAAATATATAACTTTAAGGAAAAGGTGAAGAACACTTGGGAGAAATGTGTCACTCTGAAGAATGAAGGACTCTATTCATCTTTGCTGATCTGCAATCAACTTCCTGGAGCACCAGCTCTTCTTCTCAGACGCAGCCCAGGAGACTTGCCTTTGGACCTTAGGGCACCTGTATTTCTCAACTTCTTGCACTTCTCTGATTATTAAATCCTAACTCTAGTCTCTCAGCCTCATGGAAATTCCTGGAGTCAAACCAGCTCCCTGAGGTCAGCAATCTTGCATGCAACTAAGTCCTATTTACCTATCCCCTCCCACTGCCTCTGCTGTAATCTCTAGGTGCCCTTCCCTAGCGCTCCAAATCACATATTCTCAGAATTATAGAGTTGAAAGGCCGTCTGACCCAACTCATACTCTCCTCCACAGCACACCCAGCAAGTGGTCAGGTAGGCTCTGCTAGAAGACCTCCCAAAATGAGGAACCACTACTTGTGTCATCCCATTCCACTTTTTAGGTGCTTTTTCTCCATATGTCTTCTATATCCTGCCTCTCTGCCATTTTTAACCATTGCTTTTAATTCTGATTGTCTCTACTTGACAGCTCTTCAAATACTTAGCTATCATATCTTCTCCTCTCTAGGACAGACACCCCTAGTCACTCCAGCTGATCACCAAATGGCCTGTTCTCTAGTCCACAAGAGTGCCTTTTTCTAATATTTATTTATTTACCAAGGAAGAGAGAATACAAAAATTCAGAAATAATGCAATATTAAGGAAATCTATCGGAAAAAAAAAATTGGCCTATTACCATACTGAGTGATGCCTGAGCTTTCGAATGTAATACTTAACTAATGTCCCCATAGGCTCTCGGCAGCTCCTGCAGGTGTCAAAAGAAGGGAGAACCCCACAGTGGATTTCTTTTCATTGAATCACAAAACGTTACTTATCGTCTTCCTCCATTTTTGTAAGTCTTGTCTTTTGCCAGCTGCTGCTCCCCATCTGGTCCCCTTCCTCTCTATATATCCATATTCAAGGGGAGTCTCCAATGGACAATAAATAAGAAGTAAATTGAACTGAAATTTATATTATTTTCATTTCTGAGGATTTCGCTATTTCCAAAAACCTTCTAAGATCTGCTTTTCTTGTCAGAAAAAAAAATGTGTGTATACCCTGTAGTTTCATTTTCACAGTATCAGGGTTCGATTTCTTTTTTCAGCTTTTAAAAACCTGAGGCCAGACTTCAAGTCACAAGATATTACTGTGACAAATGGAGTCTCCAGCACCTTGGTATCGAAACCACAGCAGTCACATTCTGCCCTGATTCTAATAAAACATCCTCGTCATGAGCAACTTCACTAACAGTTTAGTAGAAGGGAAAAACGGTCCTGGGGTGGAGGAGTTAATCATGCCAGTGACACTGAGGCAACCCTGAATGGGGAAGTGGAGGCTTAGACTACCAAGGATGACTGTCTCTTCAGAACAAACATGTTCATGCCTTCTGTAGAGCTGTGTGCAATGATTTTGTATTGGAGAGGCTCCAGATATAAAAATGACTCACCACCTGGAGATGGCGTTAGTGAAAGAAGACACTAGTCAGTGTCATTGACTGTCCTTGGACTTGGATTGTGGTAGAACCATAGGCTTCAAGCTAGAAGGGATCTTAAAGGTCAAAAAGCTCATCCCTCTCACTTTACTGATGAGGAAGTAGATAAAGAGGTTAAAGGCCTTGAGTCAGCGCCATGTCAAGCATGGCTGTGGGAAGGCACATTGCTACTGGTATGTTTTTGGAGAAAGCATGGCACAATGAAAAGTCCTTTGGATCCAGAGAAACCTCAATTCCAATGCTTCCTCTGATCCTTACTATTTCTGCAGCCTTGGGCAAATCACTTAAACTCGCTGGACCTCGGTTTCCTTATCTGTGAAATGGCTATCTGTGTTGGTTTCTAAGGTCCCTTCTAGCTCTAAATCTTTGATTCTATGATCTGAGCTCAAATTCCACCTCAGGAACTTATTACTTATATGATCATGGGCAAGTCTTATCACTTCTCTGAGACCCATTTCCCTCATCTGAAAAATAAGGGGGCTGTAGAACATGACCCATTACTTCCCTTCTACCTCTTAATCTATGGGCATATATGGTATACATGAGCAGAACATATGTATCATTTGAGGAGTGAAAGAACCCTCATAACAAGGGAGCTCAAGGCTCTCCAAAAGCTAACTTAAAGTCACTTCCTCCTAGACATTCAGAAAGGTCACGAAGGCAGCCATTGGGAAGCTAAGCTCTGCGAAGCTCCAACAAGAGATGGCGCCATACTGGAGAACAAGAACGGCCCTTACTGTGTGCCAAGTACTTCTCTGTCTTCCATCACCTGGCCCCACTCCAGTTAGGAGGTACACCTCCACCCTCCTTACCTCAGCTAGCTAAAAGTAGGAGTCTTCAGGCTTGGTGTCAAGCTGTCTTGCTTCTAGGTCCCTGTCCCTGCGACTCAGCCTCTTACCCAGGCCCAATGTTGCCCAGTTTGGCTTCCGGAGTTCCAGCCTTCCAGATCTTCTTGGCCTCTCAAGCCAGGCCTCAGCTCCCGTCTGAGTGGTCCTGGCTGGAGTCCCCACACCCTGGCCACCCAGGCCTTCCAGTTTGCCTAACCGTCTACATCTTCCCTCTCCTCACCTAGTTGATTTTTTACTTCTTTCAATTTAGACAGCAGTGACTCAGAAGAAAGACGATCCTTTCACTAATAATGAACTATGTCATCACTTTCACAAGGTAAATTTGCCTGGCTCTCCATTTTCACACAATTCTCAAGTGCCGTTCTTAGGGAGAGGCCAGCTCCTACATTCCAAATGACTTCCTGTTCTCGCCGCTCACTTACTGGAGAAGCAAACACGTCTGGGGCCAGTCGCCATCATTTGGGGAGTGGCAAATTGTAGGTTTTACCTAACTTTCTAGGATGAAAACAACTCCCCATCATTGAGGTTCTGTTTCTTGTTCCCACCAGAAGATTGCTTATGAAAGAAGGCACTTGTAATACCTTCTTCCTCACTTGAAAATACAGATTGCTCTTTTTCTTTATTGGTTATTGTTAGAAACAAGATGGATTTTGGTAATGTCCTTTTACACCAGTTTCTATAGTGAGGAATGACTATAGTCACTACTGCTTTCTGGCCCCACTTTGAGACTGTGAGTGTAGGGAAAGGATATAAATCCCCTTTGAAGATTCCGAGCCATCTTCTTTTCAATTATGATGAAACTCACACATAGTAGAAAGCCTAGGGTAATGGCATATGGTTCTATAAGCATTATGGAGATTATTACATAGGAAAACCTGTTTTAAAGAGATTCTATTGGCACAGTACGTAGAGAACTCCCAGTGTGAAAAGTCCATCCAAAGAAGCAGATGTACTAATCTCAAATTTATAGCCTTAGACAGTTGCCTGAGTATTGAAAGGGTTAAGGTTAAGGTTAACTTAAATTTAGTGTCGGGACTCAGGTCTTCCTAATTTCTGCATTCTACCCACTACACCAAGCTCTCTCTCATAATAATAAAATAATATCAACAGCAATGATAATAGCTTTAAGTTTAGAAAGCACATACAAACATCATGTTTTGAGAACTTCATAACTCCACGAGGTAGATGATCCAAGTATTGTTATCATCCCTACATTACAGATGAGGAAACTGAGGCTCAGATATATTAAATGACTTGCCATAGCTATTAAGTGTTTGGGACAGCATTTAAACCCAGGTTTTCTTGGTTCCTGCTTCAGAATAAAAACGTTCACATTGGTTCTTGTGACTTAGAAAGAGGGACAGAAGGAAGGCATTGCTTTCCCTCAAATACTCAGGAGAGGGTGAAGTTATTCATCCCAAGTCATGGTCAACATGTTTGCACACAGTCACCTGAATTCATATTTGAAGATCACTCCTCCAATGCCTGATTAGTCTGAGTAGGCAAATTTCAGTGTTAGACTTAAGAATTAGGAGGAAAAAAACCCTCAAGTAAAAGATGATACCTTGGAAAGTAAAATGGAATACATTTTTATTTGTACTATAATTTGAACTCAGTTTAGAGAAAGTTAGCTTACAATTTTTTTTCTCCACTTAATTGGTTGTCTGAACATGAAACTATAGTTTCCAAAACTAATTAGAATTTTTCCCTAATTAATATTCAAGACCCAAATATGTTATCTTTGCAGTGTGATACATTTATTTTTTTTTAAGTCAACCATGAAGGTAATTATACTCTTGCCTTTTTAGAAGTAGGTAGGCTTTTATTCATTCTGCACATGTCTCTGTTTCCCTTTCAGGCAATGATCGAAGAAGCCCTCACCAGAGCAGAATCCTTCTCAGCCATGTACACGCCATTTGCGACAAAAGTAAGGGCTGACAAAATTGAGAAAGTGAAAGAGGTTTTCACGAAAATGCACCCTGCATACGTGGAGTATATGTACACAGGTAACAACCAATATCTTCCTATTCATTTGTGAGTTATATTTATGGTTATATTTAACTCCATTTTTATTTATGGGTATATTTACCTAAATGCATAGTTATATTGAAATGTAAAATAAGAATGAGGCCTCATAATGTAGTGCCTTGAGAGCCAGTCTCAGAACACCAGTGTTCGAGTCTTACCTCTGACACACATCTTCTGTGTAACCTTCAGTGCCCCCATCAGTCCTCTTAGATTATAAGTTACGAGGCAGGTACTCATCTGTATTGGTAAATGGATTTTCCTTACTGGGAGTTCCCTACATGAAAGAAATCAAAAGTCTGGACACAATAAACATACTATGTCATTATTATTATTATTATTATTATTATTATTATTATTATTATTATTATTATTATTTTGAATTTAAGGAATGAAAGCCAGAAAAGATAAGTAGTTTAAATCTAATTAGTGTATAAAAAGTTTTCTTTGTTTTCTTTTTTAAGAGAGGGGAGTGTCCTGAGTGAGCATCTCTCCTGAAAGGGAGAGTAGTGAAAAGGGAAACGAAAAGATGCTTTGCACTGAGTCAACCTGGGTGCCAAGCCAATGGGTATCAGAAATGGGACCCAACTCTTGATATCTGTATTTGGGGTGAGAAGGTGGAAACTGTGAAGTCTAGAATGGAGCACAACTAACTACGGACTATTAGGATGTACAAAAAGTCCACATTTCCTGAACGTCCATCATCACCACCCTTAGGTTCATGATGTGATATTCTTCTAAATGCTGATTTTACTATTTTATTAAATTTACTACTCAATTTACTATTATTATTTGATGTACTATCAGGCATGATTATAATTGCCTGCATGTTTGATTTTACTATTTACTGACTTTCCAATTTTTCTCTGGGCCTTTTCTATTATTGTCTCTTGGTTTCTGCTTCCCCCTTCTCTCCACACTTGCTGAGGTTTTGAAGAGGATTGTTTTGAATGGTTAGTCTTCAAATAGGGTAATAGGGTTCGAAAAGACCCCAAGATAACCAAGAGGGTGGTGCCAAGTTCTTTCTCATCATGCCAACGAAGAAAGACTCATGAAATCCTGGAAAGTACACTCACCTTGGAGTCACTGGACCTGGATTTGAATCACAGCTCAATGACTTGCTGTCACACCTCTGTGACTTTGGTCAAGGTGCATCCCCTCTCCAGCCTCTATCCACTATATCACCTTGAAGGAATTCTATAATCCTTGAAGCAACAGCTCTGACTGTTATCGACCAGCCCATGCCCTAAGGTCACAGCTCTGTAAGCATCACCTACTGGCATGTCCCAATCACTGCCCTTTATCAGGACCCTTACCTGGACAAAGAGATAGCTCATGTCAAATGGAATAAAGGTCGGGGCCAGTTTGTCAAGACACCTTTCAGAGCAAATTTTTGAACTACTGAGTGTTCTCTGAACAAGGAGCTTAGGTAAATTCAAGGTGCTGTAAATCCAACAAATGATAATGAATCATAAATCTCAGAGGAGCTGTGGGAAAAGTATCTGTCTGGGGAGAACAAAGGAGAATAGAGTCTTTGCCCTTGTGACAGATGTGTCTAATCTGGTTAACCTGAGTCCTAGTTAAGAACAAATAAAAGGCCAGATGACCAGCTCAGATTTCCCAGTTGTATGAGTCGTGCTAAATAATTAATAGTTTAAGTTTGGGCATTTTATATTTCTTTAAAACCTCACAAGACTGAGAGACAGGATGGTGGCATGAAAAAGGCATGAGACTTGGAAGTCCAAAGAGCTGGGTTCTAGACCAACCTCTGACACTGATCATGTGTGTTCTCAGGCAAGTCACCCTCTGATAGAATATAAGCGCCGCAAGGGTAGAATGGATTCATTTTTATCTTTGTATCACCAGAACCACATACAGTGCCCAGACCACAGCGGGTGCTTAATAAATGCTTGGCAGCTAGATGGATAATACGCTAGGATTAAAGTCAAGAAGACCTGAGTTCAAATCCTGCCTCAGACATTTACTAGCTGTGCGACCACGGGCAATTCACTGAACCTCTGTTTGCCTCAGTTTCTTCACCTGTAAAAAGGGGGTAATAATAACAGCAAGGTGGTTGTGAGGATCAAATGAGATGATATTTGTAAAGGATTTAGCACATAGTACGTGCTTAATAAGTGCTTGGTTTCCTGTGATTGATTCATCTCTCCACACCCCACACAAGATTAGCCAGGAAACCAATCATGTTGAAATGCAGTTACCAATTTTTTTAAACAAGCTCATGGGCCCAAGTTAAGAGCTGCTGGAGTAGATGATTCCCTAATGTCCCATCCAGCTGTAGGGTTCCATGAGCCATGATTTCAGTGGTGTGAATAATCCCTTCACCAGTGCAGACCACAAGTCCTCTATGCCTTACTGAGCTATCTGGTGAGTCTCTGTGGCCAAAACATTGATGACCTTGTGGCTAACATCATGATGAGCCTCTCCCAACTTAGTTCTGCTCTCAGATGGCAAATACACAGTTCTTCAAGGGTTCTACACTCAAAGGCATTCCTGTCTTCTACCAAAGCTTGGAAATCCATTTTTTTCTATTCTGACTTTGTATATTGTCTGCATGTGAGAGGCAGCGAAGTATAACAACGAGCTGACCTTTTAGTCAGAAGGACCCAAGTCCAAACTCTGCCTCTGACATGGGTCAGCGTGGTCTGGCTGTGTGACCCTGGGGTAGGTCACACCCTCTCTGTGCCCCTGGAAATTCTCTAAGACTAGATACATTGCAGAGCAGAGCCAACATGCATTGGTAAGTGCAGAGAGTTTCCTTACTGGAAGCTCCCTTTGCAAATGAAATCACAGCTCAGGTCTCTTAAAATAGTTTCTATCCTTATTTGTGTCCATGTCTTCTCTCCCTCTAAAATGTAAGCTTTTATCATCTTGTTATCATCTTTTTATCCCCCATGCCTAGCATTGGGCCTGGCACAAAGTAGATGCCTAATAAATGCCTCTATGGTGATAAAGTAATAATACGTTCTAGAATTTTCATAGGATAATGGTGTCATAGATGGAAGAGACCTTAGAACCCATCAAGTCCACACCCACCTCCCCCATTTTATAGATGAGAAAACAGAGGCACCAAGAAATTGTGTCCTAATAATAGCCCCCATTCATGTAGTGCTTATATATTATCTCCTTTGATCCTCACAATGACCCTATTATTATTATTCCCATTTTACAGATGAGGAAACTGAGGCTGGGGGAGGATTTAAATGGCTTACCTGTAGTGATGTAGCTATTTCCAATGGTAGGATTTGGACCTTGGTTCTCTTGATCCCAAATCCAGGGCCATATTCCATTGGCCTTTAATTTTCAGGCTTCCATTTTTTATTCTCTCAGATACCTTTAAAACACTTAACCCCTCATAATGAGCCCCCTAGAAATACATAAAAACAATCTCCTTCTTCCCCCAGTTGCACTCACACATGGATGCCTAAAGATGGAAGTATTTGCATTTGAGGTGATGTTACGCATGTGCGGGCACATACACACACACACACACACACACACACACACACACACACAAACACACACATACAGAGATATTGACGGAAGGTTTTTGTTCTGGGAAAGTACCAGCCACCTCAGTAGCAACAAGAACCAAAAGAAATGGGCTTTAATTACAGCAAGGAACAATAGGTAAAGGCAATTACATCTTCCAACAAGCTTCCGCTGAAGGTCATAGACTCTCCATCCCTGGGGCTCTTGGACAGACAGCCCCATCCCACGCTGACATTTTTGCTGGAGATGTAGTTACCATCATTAAAACTTGGAGTCTCACTAATACCTCCTATTCTCCCAATGGGGAGCAGATGTGGGCTGGCAGACGTGGCAGCATCTCAAAAAAACATGCCGACACCCAGATCACCTTCTTCAAACCCAAATAGTACTAAGTTCATTATTCACACGACCAGGAAACATACCCAGCTCTCTTCTGGCAAAGGAGGCAGCCTATGGTAGTGTCAGGAAATCATACAGAGGTTCCCTTGAAGAGGCCCCCCCAGAATAGCTCCCTTCTACACTAGCATTTCCCAAATGAATATTCACCAATAGCATCCATTGTTAACCATCTAAAAATACATTTTATTGAACATACGAGCTAATCTTAAGGCTGCATTAAGACTGAGAATTATCTTCCCCTCAAAGACTTCGCCTCTCAAATAATATATGCCAAATTGAATAACCTATGTAAGAAACGTTTAGCAAACCATAGGCTGCTATATATTACTATTCCTATTATTATATGGAGCCCCTTTAAGATGCTGATATTAGGTGATGTTTAACATCCAGGTTATCTTAGTTGTTAAACTACTTAATATTGCCAAGTCTTAATTTCCTTATCTGTAGCTGGGGGGGTTAGGATGGATGACTTCTGAGGTCCCTTCTAGCCCTGCATCTAGTATCCTTTGGTCCATCTCTAATGTTTTATAGGCTAAGTGTGTCTACAAAATCTGTTGTTTGTTTTCTGTAAAACTGTTTTATTTTTCTTTCATGGAGGGTAAGGAGCAGAGGACATGATTAGACCCATGGACATCTGAATTCACATAAGAGCTCGCTGTGTTATCACGGCTAAACTGTGTATTGTTTGGGGAGGGAGAGTACTCATTGCAAAGCAGAGCAGCTACTCATTTTTCTTGTTAAAATAAAAGCTCAGTTTGATTCATGCTGAGTAGTCTACGCACATCAAATAAATAACAATTTCCTACCACCAGAATTTCTTTCTTTTCATTTAGAAAGTTTTTGCCTGGGATTTTATTCATATATTCTAACAAAAAGAATGCAATTCTGCATATTTTTCTACAGGCATGGCTGTATTTTAATAATAATAAAGTAATCTAATAAGCATATGCTGACTTTTCTTGATGGAAATATCAAGATTTATTTATGGAATAAGCAAACATTCAGTAATCCTTAGTAATGCTTAATAGAAAAGTTTTCTGGTTCAGATATCAATTACTTCAGCACTTAGGTG